TTATATACCGAAGTCATATTAGCAAGAACTCCTGCAAAGTTCGATCGATCCAGTTAGTACGATGAGAATGTATCTTTTAGATGGGGAGAAATTCACTTATCTCGGCAGTCTAGAAAGCTGTCAAAATAACAAAAAATTCACAGTCAGGTTAACAGAGCATACTGGTCAATAACTGAGCTGAGAGTTTTACCTGCTATCAGTTTTACGATCATATGAAACCCTTGCTCATCGTCTACTATCTTTGAGTACCTAGAGATGCCAAAATTCGTTTTTTGGAAACATTTTCCGATGGCGCGATAGGATTGTCAGCGTTCAGCATTTTGTTCGGCAATTCAGCCCAGAGACCTCGCCAAATGATACAAACTTGGGGACCAATGATATGTAGCAAGAAACAAACAAAAGCGATTACATGTAACTGCAACAAATAGGCGTGAGATTACATTTAAAGATTCCTTCTCTGTTACTGATCAACAGGCCTACTATTACTTAACTACCAGATGCGGCACCGAAGGATCCAGAATTCACCATCAGATCGGATCGCGGTACCGGTTTTCAAGGTGTGTATCAGTACGCATTCCATAGTATCCTAACCCGGGACATAGTTTGTACGACGACTGCGATCTGTACCATTCATTCGGGTATCGCGCCTCGTTTTCGTCAGGTGCGATATGGCGACATGTGTAGACGGTGAAAAAATCTTGTAACACCAGCAGAAAATGCTTGCTCCGTCAAATGTGTCCATTCCGGTAAAAATGAAAACCTTATATAACCTCTATCAGGAGGGTGTCGCGTCTGATACATGTACTTACAGATACACAACTTCTAAAGCGGTAGCGCGATCCGTTTTTCGGTGAATTCTGGATCATTTGGTGCCGCGTCTGGTACCGGTAGTTGGGTAGGACTGACAAAGTAATCGGATGGCATTGTTTGTATTTTTGTTGAAAAAGTACCCGTCACTTGTGTTAATACGAGTTTTTGAGAGGTAACGATGCAGGATTTATTTCAATGATTTGGCATTTGTCAGGTAAGCTAAATAATCCAGCGATTATTTTAGAAGACTCTCCTTGCAAAATGCCATCTAAGAATATATCTGGTAGTAAGTAGGTGCTTAACTGCACAACAAACAATGAGTCTATTGCAAAAAATAAATTTATTTATAATTTCTTTGTGTGTATGTAGAAGTTATGTCTATTTTTATTAAGTCGGCATTTTCTTGTAGATTAACTGCGTCTAAAACTAAATTATTTCTGTATGTATGTGACACGATACACAGCCCCCCTCTCAAGATAAATGCCAAACCATCTCTGATGCTCAAGGTGTGCTGGTATATATTGCTCGGGTGACAGTGTCTTATCTCTCTCTTAAACATACAGTTACTGTCACAGTGAGAGCCTGCGTCCACAAGAGTAGACAGATTTAATCTCTTCAAACAGTAATATCTCAGCACCCAGCTCTGATGTCAATTAATTCCCATGCCCTGATCAGTTTATCTTGGTTATAGAGGTTAGCGTTCTTGATATGGTCGTCTGAAGGTAAACGGAGAATGATATCATAGCCTGCATATCTTTACATACAGGTGACAGAGTCAGTTAAATAAAACTAAATTTAGTGTCCATTGAATATACTCTGTAGAGAAGTTGTCTTGAGAAGACTGTATTTGTAACGACCTTGTTGAACTTGAGTTACACATAGACGAATTATTCAAGAAATTTCTCGTTTTTCGGTACAAGTTTCCTTTCTGTAACACTGCAGTCCCTATGCAGCGTTAACAATCGATGGAAATAATGTAACTGTTGTTATAACTTCAACTAAGTTTGCGTAGCTCAGGGTTATAAACTTATGTAGACAGACACATGACTTTGAAATGCATTGGCCTTTAGAAAGTGCGTGCAAGTTAAGAGTTCTCTCATTATTTTAAATTTCCAAAAAGTCGGCGCGGTGCTGGCCATCAAGAGCACTATTCATACAAATGGTGAACGTTGAACTTGTGCCCCCTCTCCCCCCCCTTGAAGCACCTTTCCTTGTTTATTATAAGAAGGGAAATTACCAAAACCGTATTTTTAAAACTTATCTGAAAAAAAGGAAGTCATACCTAATTAACAAAAATTTTCAGAGATTTTTTAAATAGGGCAGGTGTTGCGTCAGGCGGAGTCACCGCTTGCTGAATAAGTGGTGACGTCACTGAAGGACTCGACCTGATAAGCTGTGTGCAGATTGTTAGGGATTAATAAGCTGACGGGTATTTTAAGCATTTGTTATCCTCTAGATACCGAAAATGATATTTTCCTGCATCTAATTATTCAGTAATGGATCTATCTTTGCTGATTTAAAACAAAAATATGCCCTCAAAAATACAAAATATCGACGTTATAGTTCTCGTTGCAATCAGCTCAAAGTTTTATAATTTAACACCTTTCTTTTTTGCGGTGGGATAGAAATCGGTTTGGGACATACTTTTATCCACAAATAAGATTGTATCACAAAAATTGGCATAGCTGACCACGAGTCAGTGGGCTACAATTGCTTGCCGACATTTTGGTTAATCCTTTTGTTATGGAGTTAGATCCTTTATTTACAGATCTTAATGAAAACAAAGGCGCTATTTTGCTTTAATAATATCCGAAATGAAAATTTAAGAAAAATTGCCGACAGGGATTTGGAGTACTAAATGCTGTCAGTATATTGGTGCTAAAACGGTGTTCGTGGGTGTTCAGGTAAAGGAGAACTTTGACAAACAGAATTGTTTACGTTTCCAATGTCTTTCACGACATATTGGGCAGAATGTAAGCGGGTTTTTTTTTCGTTGCTAAAAACACGTACAGGATGCAACAGTTTAGAGAAGGGATGGATCATAGATATCAGTCGCTGTGAACGTTACATATTATATTCACAAGAAATGCAATTTATCAAATATGTTTTGAGAGATCAAAAGGCACTTATCAGTTTTGCAAGGGCGCTGATGACGGTGCACGGTAAGTAATACTATATACAGTTGTCGAGCACAATAGAGGGGATTTTTCTGAAAGTACGTCAGTATAATCAGCTGATATCGTGTTATGGTGATGTGGTATAAACATCATGAATCATGTCTATATCTGTTCTAATAACAATCAGATTTCTTTTCTTTAAGAACTAAAGCCGTTTTTGGACGAAAACTTGGTATCATGCACAAAATGCACGAAACCTCAGCGTCGGCTGAACGTGCCATTTCTGTATTTGTAATTGTTTATTTATTTATTTATTTATTTATTTATTTATTTATTTATTTATTTGTTATTTTGAGGGTAAAAACGGCGATATATAGGCCTATTTCCCTATAGCTTTCATATTTTGAAATATGTTCCATTGTATTACATACGGTCATCTGACCAAATTCTCCCTTTTTATCTTTTTATTGTTTAACATTTTGTATTGTATTTTTTACATGCACATAACAGAATGTTATAATTATCATTGAATGAATTACATGTTTTTGTCAACGGCTTGTGGTGCCTTTTCTTTTCTTTGATTTTTCACGATCAGAACCCTATTTGATGTTTTTATATATCGTGTGTCCATCCCGTGTCCATTTCTGAAGATGTCTCCCATCTATAGTTACTTAGGCAGAACTATAGTGGAATGGTACGGTGGTGTATTATGGAAGAATATACATGTATGTATAGGACATATACCATTACAATCAAAACCTTAGTTAAGAACAACAAAAGAGAATATGTTAGACAACTGTGTATCAGACAGAGATATCGCAGTTATCAACATAACTGTCAAAGATACATCTTAGTTTTAATTTCTATTTCTGACAGCAGAAAAAGCTTTGACGTTTTAATGACGGTAATCGATATCAGTATTTGCATTGCCTGTGATAAGCGGTTGGTTACGATGTGCGCTCTCTAAATATAGCCTCCCAAAATTATATCTTTGTACACACGATGTACATGCAGTCCTTGCTACGCTGAGCTGACATAGTGGACAATAACACTGAACTTGAAATGCAGCAGTAAATTACAATATGTTTTCTGAAGGGAGGTGTACATGGAAAGCTGTCCCTAAGTCAATCTGATGAGGCAGATCTAGTCGACTACTGCCCCATCATGAGCGACTGAGGGTTTCCCCTTACGAAAACTGTATTAAATTTGTGCTGGTATTTACAGACAGCGGTGAGGTTGAATCAAGTTACATCAAAGGTTTGATAATTTTTTGAGTGGGCTTCAAGAATTAACCCTACGGAAATCTAGACAAAATTATGGGTGCGATCTTTTTTTTTTCAGAGGGCGAGAGGTAAAGTCCTAGAAAGCAGTGACAAACTGACTTTCGTTATGTTAGAGGACACTCTTGTTAAGCATAGTCTTGAAGAAAAAACAATGACTGAAATTAATACTCTTATAAAACAATTCCAATTACTATACGACTACAAATCGCTTCAAATACTCCCACGTCACAGTGCCTTTCTGCCCCTAGTTTTGTTTCATAATCCGATTCAATGAAGCTGTTAATGAGTATTTAATGATTTGAACAACATATGTATTTAAAATCTCGTAAAAAGATCAACAATATGAATAATATTAGACATTTTATCGCTGATATTCATTTTATTACACACTTTCGTCATTTTAGATACCCATATTGTGTCTGGTATTTGTTTTACCTCACGCAACGTTATCTGCGCACTTCCGTTTCCTTCCAAAATCTGGGGTCTAAGCACGCCACAACTGAGACATTATTTTAGCATTTTCCATCATTAATCAGGGGTGGATCCAGGATTATTTGAAGGGGGTTCCGGGGATGTAAAGGCAACCACCCCCCTTGGTTCATTTCAAGAGGGGACCATTGTTGTGATTAATTTCAGAAATCAGGAGGAAGGGACAGGATCCCCCTGGCATACCCTAAATCCGTCACTGATCAATGATCCAATAATATAGGTGAAACAGGATATAAAACCGATTTCTATCCCACCGCAAAATAGAAAGGTGTTAATTATGTCAGAGGCGAATTTTACTTACCAGAAGGGAGCGACTAATAACTGCCAAAACAGGCACGGCCGATATCCAAGTGACAGCATCGAAGTATTTGTTGTAGCTGGTTCAGATTTATTGTAGGACCAGTAGGCCGCTGATTCAGCGAGGAATGACAGCCCGCAGATTGTCTATATGGCTTACATCTGGTTATTCTGATAGCTGCAGTTGTTGCCTTGTTACTGAAAGTAATCAGCGAGTACAAGTGCTCTGTGTGGACGAGAATATACAGTTTAAATAACACTAACACTTTTGACTTTATGCATTTATGTCCGTTATCTTATCGCATCCTTCCTCTGATAAACTGCTGCATGTTTGCCTGCAGGGTTAAACGGTTAAAGGGGTTTGATGATGCTCGAGGATTTGTGACCAGTAAAAAATCACATATCTATGATGCATGTGCCAGGAAATGTGTCTAGGATGTAATGTTACAATCACATCTATTGGCCAGAAAACTATCAATCTACAACATTAGGGCGGGGATTCCCCTTTTTAAGAAATGGCGGGCAACCGGCTCTTTGTGTGCCATTATCTTAACAAGGTGACTTGAGTTACCTGCACATGTTATAATAGAAAATGTTGTTGAAAATTATGATTTACGACTACACACATTTTTTCTCAATTCTACTGATGTCCCATGTGTTCCGGCCTTTTTCAATATCCAAGTAACCATGTCATATGTGTTTAAAGCCTGGGTACCAGCATACATGTGTACCTACCAGTACAGTAGCTACTGAGAGAGGATACTGTCATTGAAATAACTCGTTGTATAACAGGTACTAGCATACATGTGTACCTACCAGCACAGTAGCTGCTGAGAGAGGATACTGTCATTGAAATAACTCGTTGTACTTCTGTGACTTGAATCATAGATATCAGTTATTGCCACGAATAAGATTCCTTGTCACTTTGTGTAACCTGTGTGGCGTTTTAATTTTATTACCATTATACTTTTCATTCTAACGGCGTTTTAATTGAGTAATGGATTTATAATCTTGAAGATATTACATACTTGCAGGCTAAATACATCTTTGCTCTAAGTTTTCAGATAAGTTTCCAGGTATATTATTTCAGTTTGTAACCATAAATCCCTGTTGTCTCCCTAACCTTGCATAAAGGAAGAATTGCACGTCGTCTATGAGGGCATTCCCAGAGATTTAGATCGATCCAACTAGATCGACCTAACTCCCTGGGGGTTTACGCTATATTGCAGTCAGCCGAACGCGCACGGTAGTTAATTACCCCCTTACATCTTGTACATGTAGTAGGCGGGACGGACATTTAAGCCGGATTATCTGACAGTAATCTAGTGAGACTCCAAACGGGGATAGATCTATCTAAAATCTATGGGAATGCGCCCTATTACCCAAACATCAGTAAATGTCGGATATTTTAATTCATTTTTGAGTTGCAGCGCCCTGCACTTTATTCTAGTGGTGAGTGTAAACGTGCCAAGCATGTGCAGTGGTTATACCCTCCACCAAAGGTCTTCTCATTCTTTTCTACCAGTATCTGATATGAAATTGGTTGAAAGACCCCTTATGAAAGTCAGGAATCAATACACACTCTCCATTTTATATATGGTTGACATAATGACGGGTGATTGAATCATACCACTGAGGCAATGAGACCCGAAAGGTGGAAGTTCCCTTCAGTCAAATGATACATAAAGTACAAGGAGCTGTTACATGTAAGGACTTTTTCTTAAAACACTTACGGTGTGATCATTGTGTACAGGAAACCCAAAGGCCCAACTTGTATCAGATGAGCATTATCCTATATGTAAACAGACACTGTTAACCACTGAACTTCAGCGAAATAAAACAATTAATTAAATAATAAAAATAGAACTGAAGGCAATGTCTCCAGCCTTATAAATTTATACACATAGATGTATATCTTCAGAATATAACTTCATTTAAAGTAATGCAGAGACCACAAGGGGTGCTTGGATTACTGAGAAGTCCTTGGAAATCCCTGAGTACTATGACATAATCACTGCGTCTACTAAAACATTGCATTATTATTATTATTATTATTATTATTATTATTATTATTATTATTATTTGATAATTAAGTACCTTCTACCTAAAAACTTGAAAGAAAGCTGAAACTGAAAACTACATTTCCCTTTGCCAGTTTGATGTGAATAAATGTGATGATTGTCAGAAAGGTTTCATTTATGCTAGATCCTGAAATTTGATTTACCTGTTGACTGTTTCGTCTGTTCACTCTGACAGACTTGGTCACAACTGAATTACCTGTTCAGGTGAAGGTGAACAGGTAATTATCTCAGTCTTGATGATGACTTGTTAGCCCCTCTCGCCCCTCCCCCCAGGGTGGGTTTGAGAATGTCGTCATACACATGGGACAGCTTGTCTGCTCCTTCATCTCTGTTCATGGTGTGTTTCTTCCTTCTTATCCAGATCGATTCCAAAACTTTGCGCTTGCTGTAGTCATTTTCACCGGTTAGCACCTTTACATTGTCCCATTTTGGCATATGGTTGTTATCTGACATATGATCTGTGATGGCAGATTTGTGTAGAACTCCTGTCGACATAGAGAGTTTGGATCTGGTGTTAACTCCCTCACCTACATTTTCCTTAACATCTTTCTTGTGTTCCTCTAGTCTTGTTTCTAATTTTCTTCCCGTCTCTCCAACATAGACTCTGTCACAGCTTCCACACCCGATTTGATATACTACTCCACACTTCTTGTTGTCTTCTATCTTATCTTTTGGATGTACAAGAAAGTTTCTTAGTTTTGCGTGTGGTTTGAATGACACTCCGATGTTTTCCTTCCTCATTGCATTCATGATTTCCTCTGATATTCCTTTCACGTATGGGATTGTAACCTGTCCTTTGGATTTTTCCACTTTCTGGTCTTTCTTATTTTTGGATATCTTACTTCCTGATCTTTTCATTTCCATTTGATGTTTCACCTTCTTTATTGTCCATTTCGGGTAATTACATTGCTACAATGCTTCTTTTATGATGTTTTCTTCTTCCATCCTGTCCTCTGGTTCGGTCACTAGTTCGTAACAGCGATCTAACAATGTTCTTACCACTGCCAATTTGTGTACTACTGGATGGTGGGATGTGAAATCCAGATACTGGTAAGTGTGAGTTGGTTTTCTGTACACTTTGGTTTTTATGGATCCATCTGCTTTGACTATAATGTCTGTGTCCAAGAAAGCTATGTGGTTGTCCTTCATTTGTTCATTGGTGAATTTTATGCTGTTGGAGAGGTCAATGCTATTCATGTGTTGGTT